ACCTGCTCACACCAACCCTAACCGTGTATTCTCAGAATTGATACATGACGGTACAATCTGTATTGTAAGGAAAGCGGGAACTGTCCTCTACTTTTCCCCTAAGCTAGCCTGTTAGCAGATCTCATCCATTCGCCTCAGAAGCCTCTCAAAACTTGAGCCCTCTCTGCTGCCTTGGTTTTCTCTTCCAGCATTTCTTAGGTGGACCACAGTAGAAGCCTCGCGGTCTCCCTGCCTCTGCCCTAACTGCCGTCTCTTCCATCCACGGGTAGTGGGACTCTGCCTAAACTGCCAGCTGCTTCTTATACCTGTCCCCCAAGTGCATCCAGTGTTCCTTTCACACAGCTTTACTACCGTATCCGCTTCCCAGAACCTCTCTCTTCTGCACGTTGGTTTCCTTTGCATTGTTTTCCCCTTTCTCACCTCTTCCACTGTTTGTCTGCCTGGAAAACTCCTAACTGTCCCATAACCTCCAGCCGTGAGGTTATTCTTTCCTAACACCATCCCTGCCCAAGCAGAAATAAGGGATTCCTCTGCTGTGCTCCCACAGTGCAGTGGAACCAAGATATCACCAACTTTCCCCCAGTCTGAGAAGTCCTTCAGTGTAGGGACAAATTTCATTCTTGTTTGTGTCCTGGGTGCGCCTAACTCAATGTCTTGTGAATGTTAGGGGCTCAATAAATGTTTATGAAATGAATGATCCCATGGCTACTATTCTTCCATTGGTCCCGTCAACTTAACCTTGTCGAACGATTCTCATCCTTTCTTCCCTCCTTCCCCAGCCCCTTCACCTGGTGACACTGGTGCAGCTAACTGGCTCAGAGCTCCCAGGGAATTTAATGGTGCTTCCCCTCTGTGTGCTCCGTGGAGGCAGGCACCGCGGGTGTCTTGTCTCTGCAGGCAGTGAGTGGGCCTTGCTGAAAGAGTAGCTGCTTTGTGCAACCTCAGGGCCTCCTGTAAATCAGACTCAATCGCCTTCACTTCCTGTGCTCAGGGAGATTAGATACTGCCTAATCAACGCCACTTTTTTTTTCTTAATATTTGAAACTACCAAGTAACAGACCATCCTAGTGGGTGGCTTTCAGAAATCCCCTCTTTTCTGGTGTTTAACTTCTTGTTTCAAGAAACCAATCTATTTGGAAAGAACCTGTACTTAAGACGTTCTTTGAACTGCTATGAAGCTCTGGCAGGAAGTGACTTGGGATCTGGGTTAGACAGTCTTGTCTCACTCCCAGGAGAGGTGGGAGGTAATGAGGTCTAGGCACATCTGGGTATGGGTGTTGCTTTAGATCATTGCTGTGGCCATTTCTCCACGTGTGGCCATTCCTACAGATGTAGTCTGATCTGAAACCAGAGGATGCTTGGGGTAAGCCGTGAGCATCTATTGCACATTGGTGGTGTGTGCTCTGCGAGGAGCGCTGGGACTCCTGGGCTCGCAGAGTGCACCTGACAGGCTTTTTCATTGCAGCCTGTTGTAACCTTCAAGTACACTGGAGAACAAGTTGGTGGAGCTCTATATGAATGAAAGGAGTCTTACACATTTTCTCTAAGTGAAACATCTGTCCTGAGAAGTACGTTTGGAGGGGGCTTGGTGGCAGGACAGGGACCACTTCTCTCCACATCATTGCATGGCAGGTAGAGATTTCTTACTTTCAGGGTGGGGAGAGACATTGGACTTCTTCCCTGATTCTTCTGATGTGTTTTTAGGAGAAGGGGATGCCCATTATGGTCCTGCATAGTTCATGATGTGCTATTTTGTATAACCCTCAGAATGCCTCAGTGTTATTTATTGAACTCTACTATGTGCCAGGATCTTCTGGATTGTCTCTCTTAATCCATTTAGCAACTCTTTGAGGTAAATTGTTATTATAATCATTTTTCAGAAGAGAAAACTGAGGCACAGGGAAATTAAGTAATTTCTGTAGTTTCTCACAGTCATTCATTCAGAGCTGGGACTTGAGCCTAGGGGTCTGACTACAGAGCCTCTTAACCATGTCACTGTACTCCTATGAAATAGGTATTGACAGTCTCACTTTACAGATTAGTAATGTGGAACCCAAAGAGGTTAAGCAACTTGCCCAAGGTCCTGTGGGTAGTAAGCAATGTGGCTGAGGTCTTTCTGTTCACAAGCCTGCAACATTCTGTTGCTGTGTGCTGGCTAGATAGGGGATCTACTAGTTTAAAATATAAGTTCTACACATCTTCTTCTACAAGTAGAGAAAAAAGTCATCTCCTCCCTTCCTCTTCCCCATTCCTGATTTCTACCCCCTGGAAGTAATTAGTTTCAACATTCAAAGACTTTTCTATTATTTATTCCTAGTTCCTATTTACTTTTCTCCTATTATTTCCAAATAACATGCTTACACTATTCCAGACTTTCCAGTTTTAGATATTTTCTTACTACTACTGAAGAGGGGGATTTCACCCTCATACCCTGCCCTCCCTCCCCGCAACCCACACTGCCAGTATAGTTAGTTTGGGGTTAGTTCAATACTTCCTACTTACATTATCATAACTGAATAATCACAGCTGAACCATGTGGTATATTGTAGTTTTATTTCCTTTTTATTTAGCTTTTTATTTCCCTTAAACTAATGTGTTGTTTTAAAAAATTTACTTGATTGTTCTCAAACTTTTACAGAAATGTTAATATTCTTTCACTATGATCATTCATGTCAGGTAAACCTTCATTTTAATTTTTTTTCCCTTGGCATATTTCTCCTGGATCCCTTTTCTTCTTGTTCCAACCTAGACTGATGGCTAAGGAATACTACGTAGCTGTTATTCTGGGAGGTTAACTGTCTGTCCATCCTGTTTGAGGAGCCCTGCCAATCTTTTGGAATGCTTTCCTGCCACAGCTTCCCTGTGAGATTTGAAGGGCAAGTGTATCAGGAGAAAGCAAAACACAGGGGGGTTGACTGTCAGTTAAAATTACACAGATGTAGGTGGCAGAGCTGGGCTTGAATTGGCCTTTCCTGACTCTTAGCCTTGGGCTCTCTGTAGGAGGCCACAGTGCCCCTGAAGCCTGGCCAAAGTGACCACTGATGCTGCTGGCCAGGCTAACCTCAAAAGTTCCAGACCCCATGGATGAATTCAGAGTGGCAGGGATTTGATCGATAGCTCCATCTAACTTCTTTCATAAATGGGAGATATGGTTGAGCAGTAACCTTTGAATCATACTTCTGAGTCTGCTAAGTAATAGTTACGCAGTTTGGAGCTGGTCATATAATCTCTCTAAGCTTCAATTTCCTCTTTTGTAAAATAATAACAGGGCTACTTCTAGGATCTTTGTAAGGATTAAGTGTAATAATGCTTTAGAAGGCATATCCTAAATGCTTAGTAAATGTTGAACACTTCTGTAATTATGGTCTAGAATTCTCAGGAGATAGTAATACTTTTACAATTGGACCTCAATTCTCTAGTATCCTTGAGTTCCTGGACCATGTTAGGCTATTATATGACAGCTGTGTATAATAAAAATTTTCTAAATGAGTAATTCATGCATCTCACTTGAGCAACTCTTGGTCAATATGATATGTCTGCCATTCTTCATTTACCTCTTGTCCACCCTCTGGGGATTGATGATATCCCTTGGGCAGCCAAGGTCAACTGACCAATACTAAAATAAACATCCAAATGTCCAGTTCTTCTTCTTTGCTGATTTTGGCTTTTACATTTTTCCCATTATTATCAATTCATGCAAAGATTTAAGTTTTGGGGGTAAGATTTTTCCTTGGGAGAAAAGAGTATCTATACTTCCTCTTTCTCCCATACACTTCATACTACTCTCCAGTGCCATTTACTGTAACAGTTTGCATTCTAGAATAGACAGAGTGAATATAAAAAGGTGATCCAAGTTTGAGATGAAACTTCTGGGGACAGAATGTCTAGTGCAGTGTATTTCAAACTGTAGGTCATGACTCAGGAAAGGCTGTGCAATTGCCTTAGTGAAATCATAGCTAGCACTTGAAACAAAGAAAACAAAACATCAACCTGTATCACATAGTAAGGAAGGCATTTTTTTTAATTGAAGTATCATTGATATACAATCTTGGTTTCAAATGTACACAGAGTGGTTCAACAGTTACCCATATTATTAAATCCTCACCCCCACTAGTGTGGTTACTATCAATGTAAAAAGATATTACAGAATCACTGACTATGTTCTCCATGCTGTAATGTCATCCCTGTTACAAACTTACCGTGAATGTGAATTATTGTGCCCCTTTGTTCCCCTCACCCTTACCCCCACCAGTCCCAAACCCTCCCTCTTGGTAACTACTAGTCACCTCTCAGTGTCTGAGTCTACTGCTGTTCTGTTCCTTGTTTTGCTTTGTTTCTATATTCCACAAAAAAGTGAAATCATATGGTATGTCTTTCTCTGCCTGGCTTATTTCACTGAGCATTAATACCTGCTACATCCATCCATGTTGTTGCAAATGGCAGAATTTCTTTTCTTTTTATGGCTGAATAATATTTTGTTGTATATATGTACTTATATATCCATTCACTTATCGATGGACACTTAGGTTGCTTCCGTATCTTGGCTATTGCAAATAGTGTGGTGATAAATATAGGGGTACATATGCCTTTTCGAATTAGGGATTTTTTTCTTCGGGTAAATTCCTAGAAGTGGAATTACTGGATCAAATGGTATTCCTATTTTTAGTTTGAGGAACCTCCATACTGCTTGCCACAGTGGTTGCACCAATTAACAGTCCCACCAACAGTGTAGGAGGGTTCCTGGAAGGCACTGCTTTATGAAGTGTTTTAATTATGTATGTGGTATATACACATGTAAATTATGTATACACACAGCCATGTATGTATGTGCTACCTTGCAATATAAAATGTATTGCTAAGTGTTACAGTTGAAAAAGTTTGGAAAACATACCTTAACCATCTTCATGTTGTAGAAGTTTTAAGAACATGTCTCAGTGATTTTTCACTAGTTCTGTTTCCCTCTTAGTCCCTTCAAGCTTCTCTTCCAGATAATCCTACTTAATCAAAAAAAAAAAATCAAAACCAAGTAAGGCTCATGCATTTTCCTCTTGATCATTTTCTGGGTACCTACACAACAGATTCTTAAAGGTTACTACTCTCAGACCTACAACTTTGTCAGGGGAAACAAAGGGGTAAACTGAACGTTACATATGTAGAATTGAAATGTTAAATAAGGTAATGTAACACATTAGGAAGGTAGAATGATGCACTCTGGCCAGGTTATCATGGAAGGCTTTATGCAGCCATTAGGCCCCAAATGTCAATAATCAGATTGGCAAGGAAGGGTTTTGAGTTTTGTCTTTTTAAGGACTAATAGGTAAAAGTTTGGCTAGATAGAACTATCATAAAATATAGTTTTTAGAACATGTGTTTTAAAAGCAGTAAATTATATTTTGCCCTTAATAAACCATAACACATTTGGATCCACAGTCTGTTATGATGTTCATTTACTTTAACACATTTCAGCATAGTGTGATAATTGTGTTAAGTCCTATCCTAGGAGTTGTGAGTTATCCTAATCAGAACAGAAATTCACACTCCAGAGATAGTCAGATGGTGTCTCCAATCAGGGAGACACTTCACAAGTGACTCCTAGAAGCTGTTTTACTCATAGCTCATTCAATACAGAGGTTTTGCTAACTAGCTTAATAAAATGTCAAATGTATTTCCATTGGTGCCATGAATGGCTTACTAATCTTATGTAGACACAGGCTCTTGTGAATTACTAGTATTCAAAATATGTCAATTGGCTAAGAACAAGTCACTGTTTATTAACTAGAATGTAACAAGCTCTGTAACTTGTACTTCTGTAGATAGGACCCAGTTCTGATTGCTAAATCCAAGACCCTCTGTCCAGCCATTAGTAGAGGATTGTGATGGCCTGATGTTGATTAAAACGGTGACAGAATTTTGCCCCCAGTATGTGAGGCAGAAGCTACTTTTGTACTACTGCTTGCTAGTAAAAGTTTCATAAGCAATTCTGAGACAGACTATGACCTTTGCTTTCATATTTCATCAGGTAGTGGATACCACTACCTGCCAAAAAGGGTCTGAGTTGTAAACTACAAGACTGGCTCTCAGCTTGAAACTAAAGATGTCTGGTACTTTTGAGTTACTCCCAAATAATATGAATCATTAACACCTATTTATCAAAGCAAGTTTATTTGATTTCTTATTCCAGACAGGTAATGAGGCTTCTGTGTACAGCTAAGAAGACAATTCAAATAAAAGGCAGGAAAAATATAACTATACAGCTATCCAGAAAGGACCAACAGCTGCATTCATTTTACATTAACACTGTGGAGTGATGTAGCACCATTTACCTCAAAGATATCCTAAGTACTTTATAAGGTGACTGACTATGTAGGTCTTTGTTAAAATTAAGCAGCAGCTTAAAAACTATAGCAAACCTAATGATAATCTTATGTTCAACTAACTTCAAATATAAAATTATACCAGAAAAGTTATTTCAGAAAAAAAAAGTGGGGAATCTGTTAAGGATTTGACCTTGTACAATTCTTTAAAAAAATCCTAAGGCAATAGTTACCATTATTGAGACTGGTTTTTCTTCCATTATCTGTACTATTTCTTACTATCATCATGAGCTAAATTACAAGCTTTGGGAGATTTAATGGGTAGTTATTTATTAAACACACACAACTTTTTAAGAACTATTCTATTTATTGGTCTGTTCAGTCTGTCCTGTTCAGAACCACAAACATGGAGGAGCCAAGACAGAACTTTATTGCTACTGAAACCAAAGAATTAGGATCTTTAATGACAGATTCTTTTACCATTTCTAATGATCATTCTCTTCTTTGATCAATCTTAGATTGAAATTTGTTGACTAGTTTGACCTAAGAAATCTAAGTTAACATAAGGACATTTATAAATCCAATAGTAAGCATTTTTCTAAATACTGATAGTTTCATCTGAAATATATATAGAAATGTGGAGAGAAATTTGGTGTTCCAGAGTCCTCCATCAGACCACTTTAATAAGAGACACAGTACATTTTCAGAAATATACCACAAATAAATCTTAAGGAAAAAAATTCTGAGTCCAGGATATTCAATCCTGGAAAGCTGTGGTTCCTAACACTTTACTATTAGGGTCTTGAACCACTCTGAGAAGCTGATGAAAACTCCTCCCAGAAAATACATATAAACAAAAACTTTTAATACATTTGGTAGAATTTCCTAGGGTCCATAACTGCCAAGTTAGGAATTCCTGTTTCAAAGCTGCAGGACACAGTGGAAAATAAGCCCATTTCAAACATTGTTTTTATTTCATTGCTACTAAAGTAAGCATTTTAATGTTAGTAAATTCCTGCCTTAAGACAGTTACTCATACTGTAAGCACAAGTCTTTTAAAATTCATTCTTTTGCCCCAATTTTACAAGGTTTTAAGCCATGTACCCTGTCTCAAATTAGTGAAGCCCCTAAGGTTTAAGCTAGCAGATAATTGTTTTCCTTTAATATATACTGTTCTTCAGAGCCAGTCACTTTTAAAAAATGAGATTAAAAAATCTAATACCCTTGTGAAAATGAACATGCATCTATCTTCATACTGGTGAACAGATTACCTGACTTTATAAAATACATTTCTAGGTATAACTTCACACTTGAAACCAAACACATCTACTCAGTGCCTGACCATCCCTTCCCATCCCAGATCATACCTCCCCCAGCTTTTACTTGCTTGGAATCAGCACAGTGGAGGTCTCCCACTATGGTAACAAGACGTACCACATGTTCTACCTACTGTTCAGGTTAGAAAGCACTTCATTTCTGACCAAACCGTCTCAGAGTCTTGAGGAATCTAATGCTGAACCATTGGCTGTCTTAACCCCATGATGAATGGACACTTAAACAAGAGAAATGACTGAAGTACAAGAGTAAAGCCTATTATTTTCTTATTAAAGAAAAACTCCACCAGTCACTCCTAAGAATCTGTTTATGTAACAGGGTAAACATATATATAGGGAATTCTTGAGAGATTTTGAGGACTGATAACAAGGGGATAATAGCTAGATATTAAATACAGGAATGTGAACACATCACACATATAAAATTTAAATCTCTTACTGAGGAATTTTTCCAAGGTTGAAGTCAGGTGACAGATATTCGGTCCTTCCATAATCATTCACTTGTGCCCAAATAGAGTATTTATAGAACAAATCTCAAAATATCTGAATAAAGCTTTGCCAAGGAAACTAAAACTTTGTTATCAGATTTCATTCTTGTCTTCCGCTATATAAAAAGTGAATAATGGAACAATCATTAATTTTTCCTTGCTCTTCTTTACTTTGACGCAGCTTTCCTTTGTAAAAGTTGAACACTAGAATTTCCATTTCAGACACACAGGGAGGTCAAGGAACAGGGATGGGGAAAGAAGGATATTGCTCTCTGACAATCAGAATTCAAGTATTTCAAAACTGTAAAAGGCTTGCAAGAGAAAAGGGACTTCTCTTACTTCTTGCTGACTGGCATCTCATGAGCCCTGTAAGATACACAACAAAGTATTTTCCCTGCAATATTTAATGTACCATTTGTGTCTATCCTACCAAATCTATTAAGTGCTGAATGAAAGCTGAAGAAGGTAATATATATCAGCATTCCTGGCCATGCAATCTATATATTTTCACTTTAAGAATAATTCAAGCATAAACCATATTTAAAAAATTAAGACTAAAGAGAGACAGTAAAGGTTTTAAAGTTTTCTCTTTGAAAAGATGGTATCTTACAGTACATACAAAAATACTCTGAAAATACATACAACTTCATTTACAAAACACTGATCAACATATTACAAGAATTACATGGTTATGGATTTTAATAAACTGAGCATGCGTTCATGAAACTTAAAAAATATTAAGAAATGCACTGAAAAAAAGCAGTGTAAAAAAAGATAACTGATATAATTAAATAAAAATTACAAAGATCCTGAGCCAATTAATGGTAACACTGTCATTCAAAAATGCCTTTAGATTTCAATAAAATCCACTGCTTATTTCTGCATGCCTAGTCCATGAAGACACTGTTTGAAGTTGTGGGGTAAGTAATGATCAGGAATTATCATGCCAAGTTAATTTTACACCTCAAAAATACAAGTTTGCCATACTTTAAGGTATCTTATTGTTGATGCTGGAATGACTTGCTCCTCAGTAAAAAATACCAGTTAATTAACATTAACGAGAATGGTATGAGACTGGATATGTAACAATTTCATCACTCATATACTGACTTTCAGTATCTTGGTTCTACTTTGATTCTTAATAAAGATGCATTTCATAGGCCTCCATAGGAGGCAAAATACAGAGAATTTATGGTGCCCAACTCTTACGTAATCACTGGACTAATCCTCCCTGGTAACTATGCAACATTTGGATAGAAAGGCACAAAAAAATAAAAGTTTAAATACTCCCATGTGCCAATCTGGAAAAAAATAATTTAAATGAACAGAACAGACAATAAGTACATGTACATAGATGAAAAAGCAGAAAAGATACCTCACACTCATTTACCTCAAGTTGCACAAAGTGGCTTCAATGCTAAAGTAAATGTGTTAACATTTGGAAAATTACAAGACAACTTTTTTTTGTTTTCAACTTTTTTCAGTTCTATACAATGATTACAACATAAGACTTAAAAAAAAAAAAAGTTCAGGACTTCTTTTATCAGTGTCCAAAGAGCCAAGAACTGGCTCCCACAATAGAGAAACAAGCATCGCAAGTTAAGGCAGTAAAACCTCCAATACAAAGCTGTAATACTGCAGGTGACGATTTGATAACAGGTGATCCTCAGAGGAGTGTGTGTAGCAATCAGCGAGAGAATGCTACAGCATCTGCAGGTCAAAGTGTGAACGTTCAAAAACCACTTCAAGGTTGTTGGGCTGATGACTGTAACTTTCACCTTGCTTTATATGACAGCCACTTCTATTTTAAAAAGAGTGGCTGCATCTATGTCACTAAATGATTGCATATTCACTTAAGTAAGGAGGCACTGCTTTTACCGATTAAGTGTTAGTCGGATGGAATTTTTGATGACCCGGATGTTATTTGCTGGAACTGGAGATGAAGAATCTGGTAGTTCTTTACTGAGCAGTCTCTATTACAAAAAGAGAAACAAAGAAGGAAAAGCAAATATATATAATAAAGGCCCAACAAGTCAATCAGCCACAAAACTCTTTCGAGTTTTTCTCTAAATCCCTTAGGTTCCTAAACATCTAAGTATGTTTTGAATATTTTCTCCCAGTGTTCACAGGCATTTCTTGTTCTGGGGACTTTTTTTAAACAGTCACAGGTGAAAAGCAGAAGGCTGGGGAAGGGTAGACATGGGAGGAGTCTTAGAGCAGTAAAACCACCAATGCAAAGCTGTAATACTGCAGATGACAATTTGATAGCAGGTGATCCTCAGAGAAGGTATCCTCAGAAAGGACTAATCACCACTCCTGGACTGAGAAACGCATACCAAACACAGTCCTCAAAATCAGGCAATGGCAGAGAAGTAGCAAGAGCACGGTCACTAAACAGGAGACTCTTGGGGTGCAAAGTGAATAATGAGCATGTGTTACAGAGGAAAATTGGATATCCAGTTACATCCCTCAATTAGTTTCTGTAATACTTCCATGGAGAAGAGCACCTGTAATCTAACTTGTGAGATACCTAAAAGTTTTCAGGCAAACTCACTTTGTAGTCAGGCTAGATAATTTCAGTGATAGTAAAACTTGGGGACATCTGTATGAGGGCTTTGAGGACACTGAAGATTATTATATAACTAAGGCAAAGCCTAAGAAATTTAGAAAGCAGACCCACAAAATACAGACAGTTGTGTGATGGAAAACAGAATGTTAGCTTCTTGTCAAGAGATTATTGCAACAGTTAACTCTGCTCTTGTGTTTCCTTGGCTAAACAAGTATCTGTATCATACCTACATCCATTCAGAACAACATGAGAAATCTCAGACAGACATAAAAGTATAGAACAGGACAATGAAGACTTAGATGCCACAACCAAGTCTCAAACATTATTAAAATCTTGCCACATTTGTTTTGTTTATACCCTTACCCTTTTGTACTTGAAATATTTTAAAGGAAAACCCAGATATGTCATTTCATGCTTTTAATACTTCAATATCAATCTCAAATTTTCTTTCATTATCACATGATATAATTATATACCCATTATTTTTGTGAACCACTTACGTTAAAAGAAATTTTGTAAATATCACCTAATAGAAAGCATGACACTGTTTTGCTTTGTAATGGTCAAATACATCCTGGGAGACCTGGCAGGGTAACAGCCAATTTGATGACAGGCATTTTATTCTTTAATGGGTGCAAGTACACCATTTTGTTCACTGTAAACTCTCAAGGGCTTTCTCTGATTTACAAAAGGCTGATAATTTTGAGTGCTTGCTTATTAGTTTGTCATGCTTAATAATACTGTATTTTTAGTTTTAATGGTATTCTTTGAAAAATAAATGTTTTAACTGAGATTTGGGGCTCTTTAGCTCATGTTTTAAAGGTATCTATTACAGAACCAGTACTTTTCCATTCTTCCAAAATATTAATAATGGTTCCTAACAAATCTAATTTTGACAGTAAGCAGGTGATGCACAAAAGATATACTAACAAGTAGTGGCTGAGCACTGAACTTCTTCTTTACAAATAAGTAAAAAATAAAGGTTGAACACAATCTGAACAAATCATGAAGTCTTAAACTACTCCTTTTTCTAGACTTTTAAGGTACATACATTTACAACCATATATTTTGCTGTTTCAATCCCTAAGTCCCAACTATACTGTTGATGCTTGACAACAGGAACAAGATCTTATTACCCTTTTCCTTCTTGTAGTGCTAGAGTCTTAATAAGCTTTTTGTACCTGTAGATTACCTATGTTCTTTACTTATGAATAAGGCTGTTACCTTTTTGCGTGATGTATCAATAGTGGGAATTGGCATACACTCTCCTCCAACGGCATCCTAAAAATACAAGAATTATATACAAGTGAAAGCTTTCTTTTCTATATGCAAAAAACTTATTGCTACATGAAGTAAAACGACCAAAACTTGACAGGTCTAATCTGATCTGCTTTCAAGTGTAGTACTTTTCCTGATACATAGTTCTTTAAAAGTAAACATTCTGAAGCACACTATTACTGTATTTACCACTGATTTTCTTTTTCTGTCTTCAGCAGCATGTGATTCCTTAAATGTTGATTCCAGTCGAATAAACTAAAATATAAACATTAAAATGAGTTGCTATTATTACCATACAAATCTTCATGCATACAAAACCATACAAATCTATATAAACTGAGAAACTAGTGGTGCTTAGGCTATCATCAAAACTACTAAAATGGGGGATGGTAAGAGAGGAGAATTTAAATTAGATTAAACTCAGCTGCCATTCTTTATTTCTACAGTTTGAGTGATTTTTTTGGTTAAATCAATTCAAATCATAACAAATAAAACAGTTTTACTACCACCTACTGGAGGCAGAGGGGATCAACATTATAACACAATTAAATACGATTATTTAGTTACCTATAAAGGCTTTTGTGTATGTCAAGGAGAGACTTAGACCAATCATTCAAGGTTTCAGTTGCATTAGTAATCTGAATTTAGGATGAACAATTAGTATTTCTGTTCCTTTAGGGTTTGGGTAAATATTTTTTAACAGTCAAATCCTAACAGAACATAAAACAAAGACAGCTATGGAGAATTTTGAGTTTAATACTATTTTAGGTTAACTTATGAAAAATCAACTATGGAATCACCACTAAAGTTGTAACTTTACCTTTTCTATGTCTTTCAATCTCTTAGAAGACCCATCTATGGATGGAGAATGGGATCTCTTGGGTGTAACATTTTTAGTTATATTTGACATTCCATTCAGATGTGGCTGTCCCTGGGCAGGACTGTGAGGTGTTGTGATTCTAGGAATGACATTTCGTCCTACTACAGTAGGAATAGTGCACACAGCTGGGGGTGATACAGCTTTTACTGCAGAATCAACTTCTGAAAAGGAAAAAAGAAGACTTTAGTAATTAAATATATATGTAGTTATCATTACTAACAAAAGTATATATACCTACTTGCACCAATGACTGGAATAGATAGTCCTTGAGCTGGTGGGACACTCAGCAGCTTTTCTACTTTTATAGCAGCAGCTTCAGCATTATTCCTATTAAAAGTGTTAAATTATGATTAATTCAAATTATTTAAAGCATTCTTATTTTAACATTTAGGATTACTTCTTTCAAGTACTCCTACTTTAACATCTCACTGAAAGAAAAGGGAAGAAAAAGGCAGAGGACCCAGTGAGAATTAAGAGAAAAAACTGAATAGAAAACCTGTGCATCTCTGTGTATTTATCTAGTCCCTCATGTTCATAAACCTGTACCATGCCCCAGAAGATGATCACAAATTGTCAAGTATTTCTATACAAGAAAATGACTAGAACTGGTATAATAAAATCTTTTTAACAAAAATATTTAACAAAGGTATAGAAAAGTTTTATTATCTTCAAACTGATGATGAAAAAGACAATTTTAAAATACAGACCTTTCTGTTTCTCCTGAAGGAGGAATATCAGGCTTGGAAGGTTTATTTATAGATATTGGGGAATTAAAAGGTGTTCCATTATCAGTGTCTCTGGAGCTATCCAAACAACTGTTATCCAGAGATGATCGTTTGGATTGAGGTCCACTTGAACTTCGACTGACATCAGAAAGACTTTGCTGAAAAGAGGGTTTTAGAATTTGTTTTCAGGATTTCAAAAAACAAATGAGAATCATGACAGGCTTTAATTCTGATTGAACAAATTATCCTTGTGATTAATAAAGGTGAGATTCAACTCCTCAACTGAATTGTTCTATACCTTCCCTCTTTCTTCTCAATAGATTTGGGAGCTTTAAGAATGCAAATTTAGTTCCAGGATCATTCATTTGAGTGGAACCATACTGGAGAGTTAAGATTATAAACTCACCTTTTTCTTCTTTTGAAGAATCTCTGCTGGTAGGTAATGATGAAGTTGTTTTTTTTTAACATGAGTTGCTTCGATTTTCATGCCCTCCTTTAGCATGTTTATATTGTTTGCCTGTCTGTACACTGTAACAAGGTCAATAGGTTAAACAGGAAACTTCTTTCTGAACAAAGGACTATTTCCTTTTCCTAAAATGCATACCTTTGATATTTCCCCATCACCACCCAAATATACACCCCTTTTACAGAATATTTGTAAACCATTTTCACTATGTCACAATCCTATTCAAGTACTGATTAGCTTTCTCATACTCAACTTCTAAGACTTTCCCATAATCAAATTTCATTAGCAAAATAAATGTATAAAAGGATTTTCCCAAGTCTTGTTTTCTGCTATATTCCCTAAAGGCAATCTCTTCTGATAATTATGTGCCCAAACCTAAGCTAATCCTTATACCAAATATCCAAAATGCAACTCAGTTCTCCTCTTCCACGAAGCTTCTTTTACTACACCAATCTTGGAATGCCAAACGTCAGAAACCATCTGCAAACACATCCTTATCCCTCCTGGTGGGGAAATGAGGCTCAATAGCCCTGAACGCCTGATGGGATCAGAGTACACACAGCCCTAGATTCCCATTCTAGTACTTTTCCCCACCTTTTAAGAATATCAGTCTTGTTAACTATGGCATAAATTATTTAATGCAAGTTAACTGTGAATGCCCAATTATAAGCTTAATGAGAATAAGGTTGTAAGGCTTTTTTGCATAGTGACTACACTAAATTATTTAATATACTAGGGCCTTAGTATTTCTATCTGGAGAAAAGGATAAGTTTATAATAAATAGAGCTTTCCAACCTCCCCCCTTTTGAAACATGAGCCCAAATTAGAATGGAAAATTTCTATCTATGTTTTCATTCCAGAATGCCTGTTACAAAAATCACCAGGAGTGGTTGTTCAACTTGCAGATTCCCTGGCTCCACTCCCAGAGAGTGAGATTCAGTAATCCCAAGGTGATACACAGGAATCTGCATTTTCACTATAACCGTGAGAGCTAGTTTAGAAGAATTTAGAAAACTCTGATGAGCCAAGCCAAGGGTATGAATGTACACTATTCCAAATATTTAAGACAACTCCAAATTTATCGAAGATATATTAAGATAGTCCACAGAGGTGTTATTAGGGAGCTAGGCAGATGTGAGAGACTCTTCACAATGGATTCTGTTAACATTGAGCAAGCTTGTATTGGCATTTATTTCATGCAAAAAATGCAAGAATCAGGTCACCTTCATGACTGATTACAAACCTTCACTGTGCATGCTAAGAATCACCTGTACAGTTCCATTAATCTTCTTTCTTTCTTAAACCAGTAATACATTCACATGGACACAACTCAAAGGGTTTGAGTATTAAAAAAAAACAACAGCAAAAAAGACTATTGAGTTAAGTCTTCTATTACTGTCTCAACACACCCTAGTTCACTGACCCAGACGCAATCAGTTCTGTCACTTCTTAAAAAACTATTTCCTTCCAGAGATACTCTACATATTTATAAGCAAACATGCATATATTTTTTTACTTGTTTAGGTAAGTATAAAAAGTGGTAGCACACTGTTCTGCAATACCCCCTCCCCCCACTTAGTATGTCTTGGAAATTGTTTCGTCATGCCTTTACTTTTAATAGCAGCCTACATTTCTATAATGTAGATGTACCATAATCATTTAACCAATTGTGGAACTTTCAAAACTATATCAGACAGATCCATGGCAGATGATATGACATGACAGCCAAGCTTGAGAACCACAGCTCTATGATGACCAAATCTTACCTGTATCAGTAAAAGACTGTATATCATATGTCAAGTCTATGTTAACACTTTCTGCATTTTCAACTCTCCGAAAAATTATTCCGAGGAACCACATTGATACGTAATTGTTGCTATAAAATAATATTGAAGAATTTCCATTAGTTTTTTTACAACTTTATAGATGCCATTTGGTAATTAAAACTAGGTCTCTATGGAGACACAAATACAAATTTCAATCATTTGACCAAATTCTTAAAAATGACACCAAGAATACTGGTAAATTATCCCGTGTTGTTATGAAGAATATTACACAACTTTGAAAATGCTCCAAATGTTGTGACAGAGTTTTTGCAGGGGGTTTGTGGGTTACTAACGCAGCATGTACTTAGGTTTAATACATGACCACTTAGGCTCAATCCCTGTTAAATGACAATCTCACAACTGATCTTACACAATGTATATGTCAAATAACATTATTTAAGAAATGTAGTCATAAAAAATAATTAACTTACTCTTTATGGTGTTCCTTATTTCCTGGGAATGACTGAGGATTTACATGGGCAAGAGTAATAAATTCATTCCGTTCCAAATTTCCAACAAGTACTCGGATTTTAGATTCTACTAATCCAACCCTAAGGTAAAAACACAGAAGATTTTCCCATTTTAAAATTTGGAAGCTACATCTAAGAAAACCAAACAGCATATGCCTTACATGTTCATTTAAAAATTTCAGTCTAATGTATTAGGGACTCTGTTTAAAATACCATTCAGTAAATGTCAAGTTACGAAGTGAACTTCAGTGTGTTTTCCCTTTTTTAAGAAGAACTGATCTATTTAATGCATTCAGTATGTAAAATACCCTTCCTGTTAAAACCATAAAACAGTCATGATTTGAGCATGAACAAAAGAAACTGTTGGTTAATCTGGTTCTAAATCTTATTCAACTTTCAAATCTTATGTCTAAACCCTAAGGCTGTATGTCTATAGACCTAATGTCTAAAGGTTATGATATGTTTAAGTAAAGTGAACCAAAAAGCCAATAATTGGCACTTAATCCATATAATAAGCATGCCCTGATTTTCAGAAAATTGGTAGTAAATATTATATTTTAAAAAGAATTCACTAAAATCAGATCAGATACTAGTAAAATATAGTTTCATCAGATTTCTACAACTTTATTTTATACCTCACTTAGGAAATGTGACTGCTGTCAACTAATGTATTAATGATTTTATGAATTACAAAGAGTAACTACAAGTACCTTTTTACATTTTCCAACACTTCACAAAGCTTACACATTATAATTGTGTGTGCTCCAAGAGCAGATATACAAAACACTGAGTTATTCCTTTTCCAGTAATGGGCCAGATAGTAAATATTTTAGACTCTGTGGACCATTTCTGTTGCAACTATTTGACTTGCTCTGTAACTGGGAATCAGCCATAGACAATATATAAATGAGTGCGGCTGTGTTCCAATAAAACTTTTACTTATAAAACACAAGTGGCCAGACTATAGTTTCCTGCCCCTGATCTAGGCAAATGAAGTAACTGTTTCAGAGAAAAGATTCTTTTCAAGATCCCTTTAATTATCAATGAAATAGCATTAACTCTCTAAGCAAAAATAAGACAGTATAGTGCTTCCATTTTCCAGAAGTCAGACCTGAGGAAAGCACTATTTCTGGTGACCTAATAGCTTCTGCTGATGGAACTAGGGATATCAATACACTGGAAGCTGAGGAAATTAATTTAGATGCACTAGGAAGAATGCACTGCTCCTTGTCCAAAAAAATCTCTCTTGTCTGTTGACAGAAGCTTAAAATTCTGAAACCTTTCATGACAACATCTCCTAAACCAAAAGAATATATAAAATGTTTTTTCCTTCTAGTTTTGATGGGGAAAATATGACAGCAAGGGTGGAAAACTCAGTAAGAGGCCAGGCACTAAAATCATTCAAAATGACTCTCAGTTATGCTTAAATGTGACTCTGAAAAGCAACTAAAAGATTCACATCCTCATCTTGTGCTATTTCTGATTTTGAAAACATTAATTTGATGGTATTTCTTAACACTGATGACCCGTGGTCAGGTACAATAATCACCAATAAGATTTCATAATTTTGAAAATGGAGAAAGTGTTTTATACATAGCACTGTATCATATAAATTATCACTACACAGCAGGTAGAGAACTTGAAATATAAATCTTACCACTCTAGATGATTTTCTTCTGTTGATGCACTGGCAGTCAATACTATATAATGTCTATGTATGAAGAATTTTCAGCAACAATCAAAAAAAAAGCCAGAAACATTATTAGGGTCTGCTTTTCCATCATTACCTTCTCCTTCTCCCTCTCAATGAACAAAGGAGCTAATGGAGGCACACAACTTCTAAAAATTAAAACATGCTCTGATTTTCACAATTAAAAGATTTTGCAATTAAAAAACAATCCACAAAAAACAAAAACAAAACCCCCCACTAATACTGGATTAGATTCTACTGGAATATAGAAAATCTCTCATCACTTAGTATTTCTGTTAACCTTTTCTGAAACGTATTGAAATGTAAGTGACAAATGTCATCTATCATATATTAACACTGTTAAGTTTAACATTCTTCTCACATGCACACTCACAGACACAATGCAAAACTTCAAATACCTATATTTTTGGAAAAACTTCAAATACCTATATTTTTGAAAAAAATTTGGTGGCTCAAGTAGTTTGGACCAGTCTGATTTCCCTTGAAGAATCTCATCCGTGACTGCAAGACCTAAATTTAAAAAAAGACAGAGACTAATTTTTGAAAACTGACCATTGTGTATCAGTTCCTATATCACCTTACCCCAATACCTCTAACCTCACCAGACTGAGTAAAAAAACCCTGTATATTTACTGTTTTTTTCTCAGAACAACAATCAATTTCAACCAGATTGGGCTGGCTCCATTTCTAGCTATTATTTAAAATTACTATGTATTTTGGAAAATCAATTACTGAAAAAACAAATACACATTTGAAAAACTTTTTAGAATAGGCATAACTGCAATAGAGAATAAAACTGTTGTCAACCAAAAACTTGTGGAAACATGTAAAGGGCAATAGGGCCAATAGGTTTACCTTGTTTAAATTCTTCTACCATTACTGTTCGAGTTGATGTGGACACATTATACGTAGAATTCTGTTGTGGGTAGGCAGGGGTGATTATGGGCATGAGATGATACCTATCTGATGGATTTACCTGTGAAATTAGAAGCAGAATAATTGATCTATTCTCCTATTTCAGTTGTCCTCACTTCATTTCCCCAAAAGTCTGAAGAATATGAAATATAAATTTAATACTACATTTCCTCAATTCTAAGAAGTACATTTCCCCTCCCCAACTAAATTTATTTCTGAAGTCAGATGTATTTGATAGTCAAAATCAAAGGAAATTCTTTAGAGATTTATTTTTCCCCTAGAAAGCTGTTAAAACTGATGGTGTATTTTATAAACAATGGTCTTTTAGAACCAAGGAAACACCATAGCTGCAAAAGCATTATCTGGTCCAATGGTTCTCAACCCTCTTTTTGCACCCACTCAATGGGTGACTTCCCCTAGGTTACTCAGAGGAACGAGCACTCACTCTAAAAGCAAACTGTAATACAAGATGAGAGTCATGCTAGCTTAAAACCATGGATCTACTTTATTGTGCTGCAAAGTAAATCTTTTACATACTTCAGTACTTTAGTATTAGTACCTAATTACTTGTAAGACACTTTTAAACAATGGATTGTGACATTTTCGTTGATACACCCACTCATCTAGTCTTATGTGGGTGATTTTTAATGACATAATATTTGGATCGGCACTGGAGATACAAATCATTCACACCAAAAAACACAGCAGAGGGAGGGAAAGGATTATTGTTATACATAAAGAAGACGCACAAGGACAAGAGGAATTTTTTTAAACCAGACAGCCATTTAGATAATCATCCTCTTCCAAAAGGTTTAATGAAATTTTCAAAGTCACATACCCGAGGATCCCAAACAGGCAAATTCAAATTGCTTTCTTCTGGTTGCTTCAGCAGCACAGGATTTGGCCATTCCCTAATAGGAATGAGGCAAATTAACTGACACAGGACCTCATTTCAGAAACTATATGCAATATTAAAATCACTAGACTGTTCCAACTTGCATACAGCAAATGTTTTTGGTATTTGGTATTGAAAAAAAAATGGATAAAGGAAGGAAGTTTACACAGGAAAAATCTGCTTATTTTAAAGCAGTGTTCTTTGAAAGGGCAAATAGTGCTCTGCCTATTATCTGTTAACTAATTTAAACCTGAATTTTTCTCTTCCTTCTCATTTGCTTTCAAGGATTTAAATCTGCTAATTAACAGCAACAGCTAACGTTTACTGAAAATACAACAAATCCATGCAGTAGCTTTGATTATCATCTCTATTTTACATATGAGACAATCTTAACTTCCACATAACTGGCAGAGCCAAATCTATTGTGACCACTATCTTTAGGCAGGGTCCACATTTACAAACTCCCTAGAAGAAAGCTCCATCTGATGTCCCATTGTTGCTTCAAATCTGATGTTTTTAAACTTTTAACTTAAAAAAGGAATGTAAGACAACAGAAAAAGTCTATGCTTAGCTCTTAAATTTCTGAACAAATTTATATAGGCAGAGGTTACAAAATACTGGAAGTATGCACATGAATACTTACCACTTGGAAAAAACTAAGAAGAACTTATGAACTAAAGTAGAAGCTGCTGCATTTGGATATAACTGGCAAGTTCTTGCAACTAGCATTGCCCAGGACACACCACCAAGGAATCCCAGCATGTTGGAATAAATACCACGCCCTAGAAAATTAATGTTTGTTAATTATTGTTAGGACCTACTATCCATACCATTCAACTGTAAGAAATAGGATAACGTTCTTCCTAAGACTGTTGCTTAGAACTCTTTTCCCCTATAGAAGCATTAAAATCACAGGCATCACACTGTTAGCCCCACAGTTTTATTAGTAAACCATAGCTGCTTATCTTATGCTGTACTTCCCCTTCCAATACAGACACCTCTGTTCTCTGCCTCAGTTCTGATTGCCCAGCTGGGCTCTCCTGATAGAACACTGGAATTTCCCACCTTTCATTATCTATGGCTGAAAGAGAAATGAAAGGAGGGAAGAAGTTTGGAGGGTCTACAAATAGGGAAAAATTGACATTTCATTAATAATCATGTTCATGGGTATTTTAAAATCAAGTGTAAAGTTGGTGGCTAATTTTGCAGAATTTGGATACTTCCCCATAAAGTAAGTACAATACACCACTGATAGTACTCCTTTCTCATCACTGTTATAGCAATCTATAAAGAAGTATTACCATATTTCATCAAACCTAAGATGCCTTCAGTTATATAATATAGCATTATCTTATGTCCAAGAGAACAGAGTATCAATTCCAGATATGTTAAATGTGAAAAATATGTGCCTAAGAATTGCCAAACATGATACTTAATCTGTAAGGAAAGTCAAATTGCTCATGATACCCCATTACTGCAAATTACTTTATCCTGACAATACAAGATAATTAAGCCTAAGGACAAATTCTACTTGCTTGGGGTCTTTTTAGCTATACACTGTCCAATATGGTAGCCATAAGTCACACGTGGCTTTTCTTTTTTTTTGGAACCACTTTATCACATACCATAAGATTAATCCATTTAAAGAATAAAATTCAATGGTTTTTAGTATGTTCATAGAGTTGTGCAACCATCACTGTAATCAATTCTGGAACATTTTTGTCACTCTAAGAAGAAACCTTCCACAGTCACATCTTTCCTGTTTCTCCCCAACACCCTCAGACCTAGACAACCACTAAATCTCCTTCTGTCATTACAGATTTGCCTATTTGGGACATTTCATATAAATGAAATTATACAACATGTGATCTCTTATGACTGGCTTCTTTCCCATAACATAATGGTTTCAATGTTCATGTATTACATGTATCACAATTCCATTCCTTTTCATTGCCAAGTAATATTTCACGTTGTGGATATACCACCTTTTGTTTATCCACTTATCCGTTTATGGGTATGTGGTTTCCACTTCTTGACTATTATGAATAATGCTACAATGACCATTTGTGTATGAGTTTTTGTGTGGACATATTTTTACTTAGGTACTATTTAGTTTTAAATCAATTAAAGTTAAATAAATTTTTAAATTCAGTTCCTCAGCTGCACATTCCAAGTGCTTGGTAGCCACTTGGTTACTGTCTTAGCACAGATATGAAACATTTCCATCATCCCAAAAAATTTTATTGAAAAGCACGGTTTTAGATTATGTAAGACCTGGTGCCAGAAATGCAGCACTACTTAANATATATATATATATATATATATACATATATATATATAAACTAGTTGCAGGCTTTATTATATAAATGTTATAAGAGAAAGAGAAGTCAAAACTATCACTGTAGGCCCTTCATTTAATAAATTTGTTGAACACCCACTTTAAACTAGTGATGGGAAGACAAAAATGGGTAAGATGGTCCTGCCCACAGAGAGAGCAAAAGACCAGCGAGGTTTTCACTCTAGGTTCTAACTCATTTTCACTGCCTGGCTGAAACCTAAGATGGAAAGATAGCTTTTAGTTTTCACACAAAGAAGGCAGAGTCACACATTAGAGCACCAAAAACACTGCACTTGAAAAAGAAGAAACAGTTTCTCCAAAACTTACAGTAGCCCTACCAATATCAGTAGGCTCAGGAGTTTCTGTATGTACTTCTCCCATTAGCAACTGAAAACAATAATTTTATATGTTAACACAAAATAAAAAGACCTGGTATACTTACGTTTTGCCCATAGTTTGACTGCTCTTAAGGTGAGTCTGAAAGTTTCTTTATTTGGCACTAAATGCAAAATTTCATCAGTAACTCTACATCCTGAAAAAGATAAAGCATTCATTTTTCACTATGAAACGAAAACCAGTTAATTCAAATGTACTTTCAACTTCCAGACTCTCAAATGCCAAAAATAACAAACATAATAAAATATGAATATTTTCTCTACATACTTGTATTTTAGCACTTATATATGAGTAACCACCTTGGTTTTAAACAATTAAAAAGCACACGAGTAATACAATTCAATGTTAAAATAAGAGATGGGTCTGAATTATCTCTTTAGCTCTCTTCCATATTGGACTTTACTATTAATCAAATGCCTCCCAAGTTATAATACTGTTAATGCTTTAATGTAAACCTTATTCAGAAATACTGTGATTTACTGTTGCACTCTGGAAGTACAGAAAAGTGCAATGAAAGTTACTATAATACAGTGGTTCTCAATAATGGGGTCGGTGTACCCTGGGAACCTATTTTTAGCATAATACTAAAGCTTTGTTCCATTGTGTTAACATTTGCACTGATAGTGCAAAAGCAGTGGTGGGTGACACTGCTGGTACCTTACTAATCAAAGCTGTGGCAACAGCTGTACTATTAGACAATATTCTTCACCACCACACATTTACAATTAGAAAACAGGAAAGGAGTATGTGCAATGTTTGAATGTGTTTGAGGTAAGTTGAACTACCAGCTTTTTTCAAGGAAAATCCATTTTACTTGAAAGAATGACTGACAGACAAACTATTGCTACTCACAAGTGGGCATTTAGCAGACATTTCCTAAAGTTATGAACAAAGAAGCTCCTTCCTTTAAGGAAAACAAATTCAAAATTTGAGCTTTTAAATAAAAATCAGAACTTTGGACAACTAGTGTCTGCTCCTATGAGCCTGACAGCTTTCCAATAATTGAAAGAGTTTTCTGGTGATGTTAATGGGTATGATTTTGTTTTGTTTTGCTCTTTTACGATGAAATGTGTGTTAACATTTAGAAGATCCAAATAACTCTGTGAACCAGTGTTTTCCAAGTGACCAAAGCATGACAGTACAACCCTCATTGGGTAAATTATCTATTCAAAAACAAGACAGACCAGTGGATTTTAATGTAACAGAATACAAGAAGTTAACCAATATTTTAGATTTTATTATCTGAATTAACCTTAAAAAACAATCACTTTTAGTCATCAATAAAATGGAACAAACTAGATAATATGCAATAAACATGGATGAACCTCAGAACCATTATGTTAAGTGAAAGAAGCCAGACACAGAAGACCACATATTTTATGATCCCATTTACTTGAAATTCCAGAAAAGACAAATCTATAAAGACAGGAAGTAGATTAATGGTTGTCTGGGACTGGGTGTCAGAAAGGGGACTGACTGTAGGTGAGAATAAGGCATCTTTTAAGAATGATGAAAATGTTCTAAAACTGGATTGTGGTGTACAGCTCTGAATATACTGAAAACAACTGAGTGGTACACCTAAAAAGAATGAATTTTATGGTATGCAATTATACCTCAATAAAGCTGTTGAAAAGAAAAAAGCTATTGTCGCTGGTTAAGTTTAGTTGTAGTGTCAAAGTATATCCAAAATTATCTGAAAAGGCTATAAAAATACTCCTCCTTTTTCCAATTACGTATCTTTAAGAGGCCAGATTTTTCCCTATGCTTCAATCAAAACAAAATATTACAAGAGATTGACTGTAAAAGCAGGTATGAGAATCTGCTTTCTATCAAGTCAAATATTAAAGAGATTTGTAAAAATGCAAAACAATGCCATTCATACATAAAAATATTGTTTATATTCACTTATAGTGGGTCTATTATTGTTTAAAATTTTTGTTTTTATTTCTAATACAGTAAATACTAACAGATATAACCCACATAACCCCATACTGGGGTCCTCAATAAATGTTAACAGTGTAAAGGGGACTGAGACCAATAAATCTGAGTACTACTACTATAAGCATAAATAACATTTCAAATAAAATCAGTGTTTTTTAAGATGATTAGATGTGGTCAGATTTATCTATATAAAGAAAATCACAACATCATTTTTAACTGAGTAAAATCCCTTAAAAATGTATAATAGTTCTACAAAAAGATATCTGTCCATTGTTTTCAAAGTTATCAGAGATTTACTTTAGAAGCTTACCATTTAGGCTGCGAATACACCTTATATCAAGGCTTCTCAGTCGAGAGTCGTCTCTTATATCTAAATTATCTGATATGGTTTGTATTGCCAGTCTTGCAAAGACTAGATCAATCTTTGGAAAGATGCAAAAGATAAAAGTATTACTTTTTCCCCTCCCAGTCCATTCTCCCCACTTCCTCACCTCAAAAATGTAGAAAGTTTTAATTATTAGTTTAGGAAGTTCTACCAAAATTTCAAAAGGCCCAAATAGGCAATCTCACATGGGAAAGTCACCACTAAATTTTGTGAGGATAAATTAAATTTTCAAATTAAGGGAAAACATTTTTATTTTAGCATACAGGCCAAGCATTAAAAAAAAAAAAAAGACCAAAACTTTATGAGTGAATTTCTAGATAAAGATGGAAGATCCAACATACATTTACATTCACTCCCTCGTGAAACCCCACTAAAATACATAAACCACTAGGACAAAGGGAATAGAAGGAAACAACAGCAAAAACTGTGAAAGCTGAAAAGCAGATGGGTAAATAGTAACAGACTCAGCAAATCTAAGAAAGCAGATAAAAGATATTATATCCAGGAAATAAAGTCAGTAGGCTATAAAACAAATCCATACATAAATAAAAAGGAACATTTAGAGAATAAAAAAGTATTCTTAGAAATTAAAAATATGACAGCAGAAGAGGAAAAACAAAGTTTGGAAGATGAGGAAAACACCAAAAAGCAGACAAAAATATAAAGATGCAGTTAGTACGTGGGAAGAAAGAGATTAAAAAAAAAAAAAAGTCCTGGAGGTCCAATATACAAAAGTTGGGAGTTACAGAAAGGAGAGAGAACACAAAGGCAGGAAATCCAATAGAATTCAATACAATTTCTAAGAACTGAAGGACAGGAGTTTCCAAACTGAAAGACGACTAGTGAGTACCTAGTGTATTTGGTTGAAAAGCCATATACCAAAGTATATTACCATGAATTTTACAACTATGAAGACCAGGAAAAAAAAAAATGTAAGTGTCCAAAGAGGAACAGATCATATAAGAGGATGAGGAATCAAAGTGGCATCACAGTATTCAACGCAGTATGGAAGCTAGAAGACAATTAGAAGCAAGTGAGGCCTTCAAAATTCTGACAAATACTATTTCCCACCAAGAATTATGTTCTCAGCCAAAATATTGATTTGGTGTGAGAACAGAACAAAGACATTTTTAAAGTGCAAGATCTCAAAAAATGTGTTCTTTCTCAGGAAGCTAGTGGATGAGTGCCACTAAAATAATAGTAAGTCAAGAAAGAAGAACTTGAAGCAAAAGGAAATCCAAGGGTGATAGTAAAGACAGATGTCAGGGTGACTGACAGCTGGTATTTCAGTCATGGAAAACAATCAGTGTGGATTGGGACAGGTGAGAAGAGTCATCAAGTTACTTTTTCAAGATGATAATGACAGAATATCTAAGAAATCTACACTATGTACAGGAGGTTTATACAACTAGGAGACAGGGTTTGAATTAGTCATGAAGTATAAAAAACTAACAAAATCGCAAAATAATTATTAACTCCCAAGAAAACAAAATGCCACACAGCAAAGAATGGTAATCTAGTATATTCTGTATTCCATTCTGAACATTATTTATTGAACATGACTTATTAAACATTATTTATTTATTTAGAACAAGATCAGTAAGCACTGAGTACTGCTCCAACTAAAATTATTGCTAGTTTAGGAGATTATGGGATTGAGAAGGGTGTATATAAAAACCAGGGGGTAGTAGGGATGGAGGTTATTTTCCATGGAGAAAAGACAGTAAATATAGGAGAGAGAAAAATAAGGGACTTTTTAAATACTATTTAATTCTTTTAATTCTTACCTATGAAGTGTGATTAAAAAACAACAAATCTCATGGGTGAATAAAGCCAGAAAAATATTAAACACTTACTTCAATTCCATCAAATTCAAATTTTATAACAGGTACAAAGGCATCTTCTACAGCCTACAAAAGAGGAAAACAATGATCTCTCACCCAGTGTAATCCTTTCTCTATCCTTCTTAACTGCCAATAATGTGAATACCTTTGCTCCCAATTTGTATTTAACTCAATGGAAAAGGTAAAAATGTTCTTCATCTCACATTCTAGGTTAAGTAAGCCCTTCTACTTTGTGATTGTGTTATTTAAGATGCATAAAATGTCTATGACAGTAGAAATCCACTAATCATCTTCCTAAAAATATTCATCAGAAATTGGCAGGCAGAACTGCTATCATCTGTGTGCTTACTATTTGTTAGGCTTAACTGAAAACCGATTATTTACAAAGAGCAGTAGTGTTAGAAATTAAAATATAATCAGAGCTCATGACAAAAAAAAAAGTCAATATAGTTTGGATTTAGTTGAAATGCCTTTCTCAGTCTTCTTTAATCTCCCAACCTAACAAATTCTTAGTGTCCTCCTCCATTCCCAGACACCCCAAAATGCAGACCCTTCGAACTTCTCCGTATCTTAGCACTTCAGTTTGCATTAAAACTACCTGTTGGTTTAGTTCCAGTCCCTCCTCCCTTCCACAAACTATCTTGTTCACTATCATATTTGTGAGACGAAAGCATGTCTGTCAAATAATTGGTTATGAAATTGTTTCCTGAATGGCTAGATATACAAAGTTACTACTAATTGAACCTTATACAAAATAGCAGCCACCATTTGATATCCATCAACCATTTATCAAATACTATAGTAAATGATTTATGTAAATTATCTCATTAAGCCTAAGAAAAACCTTGTAAAAAAGTTATCATTACATCTCAATTTTACAGCTGAGGAAACTGGGGCTCAGAAAGAATATGTAAGTTGACCAAAATTTAAGAGCTAGTATGTGGTAGATTTTAATTCAAACCTATGTCTGTATAATTATACAGCCCATGTTCTTAATAATTATCCATTATTTTAACAAGATACAGTAACTTGAGAAATATTTCAGCAATTATAAGCCCCAGCTTTTACAGCTATTTGTTAGCAAGTTCAAAATATTAAATACTAGAGGATACTTACTCTTAAGTTTCTAATGCCATCTTGATGTTTCAATTTTTCAAAAAAAGACTGAAAAAAATCAGATCTCTCCACATGCCTTGGAGCTACACAAAGTGCATCAATATCAGCTCCTGCAAATCAAAGTATTTTTCATGAATGTAAAGTATAAATTATATTTTTGTAGAAGTATACACAAACACATACAGAAGCAAGTATGTAAGATGACTATAGGAAAATGTTAATAATGATCAGTTCTAGTAAGATAATGGAACTTCTATATTTTCTAATTATAAACAATAAGTTTGTTATTAAAAGTTCTTATCAGTAGAACATAGAAGAGCAGTTACCTTTGGTGTGTACTCCAAGCCTATAGGAGCCAAATGTAAAAATTTTACCACCAACAGTAGCCACAACAGAAGGTGGGAGATTCTAAAATAAAATATAAACAAAAGGCATTCAATTGTTCAAATTATTTAGCATGAAAACTGCCTAAACGCTATTGATATATACTACATTTGTTAATTTGGTAGACTGAGATTTGTAAAAGTACTTCAGAGCTCCTTTGGTTGTAGTCTGAAGTAGTGAAGGTATTCCCAGAGGGAAGACAAAACAAATTCATGCCCATTACACATGCACATACCTCTATCTTAAGAAAAACATTTATCACTTGAGTCTACTTGTCCCCTCCAGTTGCCTGTTTTTGGCTCTAGTACTCAACAGTCACCAAGGAATTCTTAACTACCAAAACCAGTGAGTTTTCAGCTCTCTACAGTATCATACTCTTGACTTACACCATCTCCCCTTTAGTTTTTGTGAAAGATATGCTTAACTTCTTGATTCTAGCTCTGCAACCTTTCTGCAAGAAAGTAGGTTCATTTTTTATTATGATCTCCTTATGATAGCTAATTTAACAACTTAAACATCTTTTGGATTGCACCATAATTATAATGCTACTTTTCAGCTCTCTCTAGAGTCAATTCTAACTGCCTGTCAGATTATTTTCAGACCTTCTGATCCACTTCAATATCCATGCTTGAAACAAGCAAAGGCTCTTCCGATGATAAACCAGGTATCTCTCCTGACTTCTCTATTTCTGTTCCTCACTTTCCTTACTGCACATACATAATATTCTTCTTCTTGGCTTATCAATTCTCAGTTTATATTCCTTATATGTTGCCTTCTTTCTGTTCAATCACCACCACCCCAATTCTAGGCAATTTAATAATAACATAAGCTACCTGCTTGTCCTTGTATTTATTTTCTCTTACTCCATTTTGTACAAAATTCACTGACTGATGTTTTTAAATTATTATGTGACTCTTCCACTCAAAACATGCCACTGTACTCTGACTACTCAGGTAAGGACCCTTTGATCCAAAGGGGCTCCACGATATGGTCCTATGAATCTTTCTTGCCTTGTCTCCTGATCTTCCCTTCTGAAGCTGCCAACATGTTACATAACCTGGTCTCTTCCATAGCATTTGCCATTTTCCCACCTCAAATGATTGCCCATCCTCTCTGGGTACTTCAATACCACCTATTTTCCAAAAGTTCACTTTGAGTTCCACCTCTTTCATGAAGCCTTCTCTGTCTCTGATTATCCCCCATCTCTATAACAAGCTTTTTTCCCCCCTCTGTGCTCCTTTACTAGTATTACCTTTAAACCTCTTTTACACTACATTTATTGACCTTTTTTCCCTCCTGTATTTAAGTTCTATCTCTTCAACTATATTTAAATTCCTTGAAGATGAGAACTATGCCTATTACTTCTCTTATTTCCTCATAACGCCCAGTTTAAATTCCAAAGAAACGTATCTGCTGATTAACTTGAATAAAAATATCTGTGCAACAGGCTATTTTGTTACCTCCTCTGTTTAATGGATATAAACGTTTCTAGAATATCACAAGTAATTTTATAAATACAAAACTAGAAAGGAGTCAGTAAATGTATTGGTAACTAACATGCATAAACAGAATGGAGAAGACAGGTCCTTTTAATGTTCCCACTTTGAAAAGCATCATTCTTGCACGATTTATAAGAAATGGATACACTGAATCACAGAGTGAAGTATTTTTGCCAAAACCATAGTATTTAACTAAAATGATTTAGAATGCAAGTCTGTTTGATATTTAAGTATCCAAATTGTGTGTAGAATAATCAACTAATGCTTGAACTAACTCAAATCTTCCAGGTTTTCCAAGCTAAAATATGTATAAATCAAAGGAAATTATAATTGATATAGAAAATGAGTAATTGCCTTATCCACACAATGAAAGATGTTAAAAACAATTTGATTTTTAAAATAATTAGGTATTGCATTCACTTTGCTTTCTTAAGCCAATTTGTGGCAAGGTCTCAAATTTTTAATAATGATGTTATGCCTAGAAATTAAATGGAAATCAGCTATTGGTTTTTGCAGATTAAAACACTAATGTGAGAAAAAGCAATTTAATTATTAAAAAACAAACTTTGACCTTCAAACAGAATACTTGATTTTTATTCTAGATACAAAGAAACCATGCAGAAAAACAAGGTGCCATCTCTCAACAAAATAATCTAGCCTCTTTGGTGAGAACACTTGATTAATCTTAGACTGCATCCTAGAATGGGGATGCAAGCAAAGACCTCAGCACAAACCACAATAGCTGACATAAATAAGTCCCAAGGCTTGTTACTCTGGATTTTAAAATAATTATAACAAGTTGAGTATTTGGTCTGCACCCCCATACCAATGATGGACTGACTGGACAGCAGGTACACTAACATTTGTTTAATGCCTGAGCTCTGTCAGGAGGTTATGCTGGAGCCTAAGACAGGTCTTTTTCTTAAGGACTTGATCACCCAGTAGCAGAGAAATAAAGATGAGTTTTTAAAATTAGTCATGACTAGCATTTCACCTGGTTGGAATTCACCTTATCTGAAAACCTCAAATGACAGCTGAGAGCTCAGAAATGAGGCAGGTAACTGGCAGCAAGAGCAAGCAGTATAAAGCCCATCTTTAAAACTCAGTGACTACAGACTTAGGGTCCCTCATAACTTTAATCACAGTCCATTGTTTAAAAGAACCCATTTTAAATATGTATCATAGGTACAGGAAGAAACAATAAAAGTTAGAAAATAAAGAATTCTAACAGGCATTTTATTTAATTTCTAAATCCATGCAAATTTGGAGAAGAGTTTACAGAACTACTGACTACTGTGAGACATTAACTTTCACGTGAATGATGCTAAGGGATAGATGAGAAAACTATAAAACACAAACAAAAAGTTGAAATACAACAGTTTGGGCCACTTAGTGAAGGAGTAAATAGTATCAACCAGCTGAACATACCCTACACCTCATTTTAGTATGGCCAGTAAAATAACATTCATAGCAATGATTCTCAGACAAATGAAAATTTAATTCAAAATACTCTAAGAAAGCAAGAAAAATGTAAACAACTTTGGAAGAAAGAGTTAAGCTACTGGAGGGCAAGAAAGTTGTATGGATTATTAATTAGGATTTGCAAACTCCTAAGTCTCACAGGCCAGGCAAGAGGGAAGTACATATCAACACAGAAACTGACTGATAAGTGACAGCTGCTGTATCACAGAAAGTAGAGAATAGAGGGCACAGCCAGGAGGCACTGGAGGGCAGGAGCCCAATTCCATTCAAGCCTTTTCCTGCCTTGCCTGAAAGCAGGCAGAGAGTTGCCAGATCTGATATTTCCTAAGATTTCTGAAATCTGGCTTTTTAAGTAAAATTTCTTGGTATTTAAATTTTGGTCTTCTACATGCCAGTCAAGCAAGACATTTATGTGTAATTGTAGTTAGACACTGGCTACCTCTGGGGTAAATCCTCATTTATTTAGAGACTCAACTGTCTAGACCAATTCATTACCAAGAACACTAAAGACCCAAGTTTTATTTAATGTACTTCAGATTATTCTCATCTCCTGCATCGTATTACCAGGACTAATGACCAAGACATAATGCAACTAAGAATTCAATGTGGTTTAGGGTCTTACCTTACTCTCACTGACATCAGAAATCCATTCTTTTACTAAATTATTCAATTTGCCAAGAACAACCAACCTATAACAAAAAAAAATAACATGATTTAGATTAAAACTAAACCAAACCAAACTATTTTAAAAGTAATTAAACATATAGGCAGTACCTTTGTGTTGGTGCTAGAGTAAAAGCGTATTATACACATGCTAATGCTATCACATTTGTTGATACATGGCACGTCTCTTTCACATTCTTAGGTCCCTAAGTGTTCCAAAGAGAAGATATATGTGATAGTAGTATTTTGGTCTTTGAACTATTTTCAAAAATTCAGTAAACCTAATAAAAAATAAAAATTACCTTCAACAGTGCTGTAGAGGCCAACTGAATTGTCAACTTTCTTGGCCTTACCATGGAATAAAATCAGTTCAGTGTGGCAATAATAGAGGTTAGCATTCTCTCATTGACAATCAGAGGTCTTTGGATAAAATGGGTAATTACTGGCTTATTTTTATGAAATATTATTATTTAAAAGCAATTGGATATTAAAACAAACTTGCAATCAAAGGCATATCCAAGTACACATTAAAAAAAAAAAGTTTAGGCATCTCAAATATAACATACAGAAAACTGAATTCCTTATTTGTTCAAACTTGCTTCTCCCTTAGCCTTCGCCAAAGTTATGGAATTCCATCTTTCAAGATGCTGAGACCAAAAACTAAGGCATCATCCTTGATTTGTCTCCTTTACATATTTCATAGTCATTAAACAATCCTGACTTTAAATTATATCCAGAATTCTATCACTTCCACTGCCATCCCCTTGGTTCTGGCTACCACCATGTCCTCCCTGGGATCTTATAATACCTTCCTATCTAGTCTCCCTGCTTCTGCGCTTGGCCCCCATTCAGTTTCTCAATATAGCAGCCGAAGTAACTGTTAAAACATGAGCAAATCTTATCAATCTTATGCTCAATACCCTATGAGATTCCCATATCAGAGTAAAAGCCAAAAACCTTTATAATGGCTTACGAGCTTGCCCTTCAAAGCTCCTTCCAGCCTCATGTTAGGCCCATACTGTCCTGCATACTCACTCTGCTTCAGACACCCAGGCTACCTTACTTTGTTATGCCTTAAGTATACTAGGTACACCCCTACCTCAAAGCCTTTTGGCTAGTGTTCTTCCCTCAAATATCCACAAAGCTCCCCCCCTCTCACCTTCAAATTTTTCCTAAAATGTCAACAAGGCATTCCCTGACAACCTCCACTCCCAGCTTTATATTTCTGAGCAGCATTTGTCATGTGTGACACTATATTTATTTTACTTATTTGGCTAATTGTTAGTCTCCTCCCCTAACCTCCACCTCAAATGTAAGCTCTAGCAGGGCCAAGACTTCATTTTGTCATTTTTGTACCCGTAGGCAGGGACACAGTAGGTACCTGATACATGTTTGTAGAATTAATGGTTCAATAATGTACTGTAAAATATTTGCTATTTAAAAATGACATACCTGTGGTTCAATTCTTCCTCATCTTCAAACACTCCAAATGGTTTCATGGCATCAATTAATTTCTGTGTGTAAATATGATCTATTTCTTTAGGACATGCCAAACTAATCGGAGAGGTGATTCCATAATGCTTTTGTTGACGCTGGCTGTCCAGCACGGTGTTTCTGTTCAAGAAAAATGAGACAGCAGACAAAAATTTAAGAATCATGTCATACTGATACACTGAATATTTTAGTCAACTCATTAATTCAGTTACTGTAAAAGTTTACTTAGTATTAACAGTTGGGCAAGCATTTTTTTTTTTAAGGAAAAAAGGGTATTTTTTATTTATGTTGATGAAGGGCTATTTATACAGCCTCCAACTTTCTGGTTAGGATGTCTTTTCAAGCCAAAAGCAACATGTGTTGACATCAGGACAACAGTGCCAACACCACTCAGCTCAAATGCAAAGCGCCTGAATGGGAGCTGGGCCCAGGGCCACCTTCACTATGCCCTGAAGACTTAAGTCAAGTACCATCTAGATTCAGTCTTTGAAAAGCAGTCAGCCACTTGAAAGAAAGCTCCAAGTAAAAACAATGTTTTTTTTTTTCCCTTCAGGAAAGAAACAAAAACATCCCATTAGAAGGTCCTTGTGAAATATTCTGGCTTTTAAAGAAATTACTACTAGATTTGTCCTTGAGAAACCTACATTAACATCTTCTTTGCTTTGGAATCAGAGTTTATAGTCCTAACACTTTGTGATTTCATTGTTCCCCCCATTTATACCCAGACCATTTTCACATTGAATAATTACCAAGCTTTTCACACTAAATGGCAACGTTTCAAAGGACAGAATACAAGCCACCCTCCAAAAGATCCTAGCCATCATTATACCATAGTTTTGAACAAAGTTCAACAGCATTTCTGAGATTTGGGATTTTCACAGACCAGTAATTTCAAAATAAATTTAGGGACCAACATGCATTGGTAAAACTTTTTACTTTGCTAAGAAAAGAAAGTAAAAAAAAACAACAATAACCAACTAATCCTACCATCTACCTTCACCATCTTCTCATGAAGAGCCATTAACACCAATATTAAGCATGTAATCTCAAAATAAAGAGCAGTCTCTTAAATGAATAAATTAGCCCTGTAAATGGTAAAACACAAAAACATTAACGAAAGTGACTGCTTTTTAATTTTAACTGGTCAAAACACTGGCTTATCAATACTAAGCTCACAGGATAAGGCATACTCTTTCGCTAAAGATTTCATTAGGTAGGCAGAATCAAATGTAAGCTATAATAGCCTGTATACCTTCTGAAATGACTCAGTGACACAAAGAATATTTAGCTTTTAACCTCTGAGAGAGCCAGAGACCTGTTTTGGTATTGTGTGTATTGATATGTGTGTGGTAAATGGATGAGACAGACTGATTACACATTATCATTCAATCAATTAACCCCAACAATAACCCCAAGATAGGTATTGAATAGGTGCCATTTTACAGATGCGTACTTAAGATCCAAAAGATAAGCAGAGCCAGAACCTTAACTCCAAACCCCAAGATCTTTCCACCACTCTATTCTCCCTTCCATTACTTCAATCCTGATACTATGATCTTGGGTCCCACTTTCTTATTTATTTGCTGAAAAGGTTAGCTATTACGGTCCCTACTAGCACTAAAATTACAAATTTATGGTTCTGAGCCACCCTAATCTAAATAGGGAGAAAAAAAAAGTAAGCTAAAGAACTCCACATTCCCTTTGACTCATCAAATTTCACTTATAGGTAAAACACCCTAGAGAAATTCTAGTACAAATATACAAGACATGCACTAGAATGCTGACTGTCACACTCTAACATTAAAAACTTAGAACCTAAAGAAGTCACAGAAAAGGACTGAATTAGGGTGTATCCCTAAAGTGGAATAGAATACAGTAGTTAACATGAATTAATTAGAGCTGAAAATATTAACTGGGCAAAGCTCAAAGACACCATGTCGCACTACAGAAGCAAGTAGCACAATGGCAGGTGTGGTACTAGTTACAAAGCTTAAAAACAAGAACAATGCCACTTACTGTGGACACACACATATGTAGTAGTAGCATTTTAAAAATGCAGCAGTAAACATCGAATTCAAGACTGAACTCCGTGTGTGCGTGTGTGTTCAGAGGAGGTAGGAGAATCCTTCAGATGTATTTGGAATGCTTAATTTCTTCTAAATAAAGATATATGCGTACACACTAACACACACATAAAATGTTACGCTTTGGGAGAGATGGATGGTGACTACACAAATGATGCTTATGTTGTTTACTTCATTTTTCTGTATGTTTAAAATAAACCAAAACGTAAGAAGCTACAACAAAATCTTGCCAAACGCGGCAACCGCTTCTGACTTATCAAAGTGTCAGCAGGAGGAACAGACTGATAGGTATACTGTGGTAGGTGGGGAGGCCGGGGGAGGGCGAAAAGACCACAGTTTTCATTGAAGAGAAGCCCCTGAGCCGGGATAGGTCATGCACTCCTGAAGACTTGGAGACAGCCGGTCGGGAAGGGAGGAGGGGGCGGTAGGGGGATGGTATTTGCGCCAATGCAGACAGGAGCAGGGACCGGCTCAGACAGCGCTGGGGGTAGGAGAGTGACCGACAATTTTTCCCCACGGACACGGGCGCCTCTGTCCCGCCGCATCCTCGTCTCGGGGCGTTCTGGAAGGCGGGACGGCGAGGGCAGATGGGGACTCCCGGAGTTTCCGAGCCTGTCCAGGGGTGACCAGGTGAGCCGCCGGTTGCAGGGGAGGTGCCCTTGCCGACCCGCCGGGCGCGGGGAAGACCACCAGCGCGAGCTCCAGGCAGGGCGAGCTCCAGGCAGGGAGCGGAAGCCGGGTCCCGGGCGGACCACCCAGCCCACCTCCGTCCGCCTAAGCAGCCCACCGCGGCCCCCCACCACTTACGCAGACATCTCTTTCATCGCTTCCTGCGTCTTCCTCACCGGCGAGTGTCTTTCGCACTGGAGTCTTTCTCTCGTTTTTCCCTTCTCCCGCTGCCCACTTTGCTCCAGTCGCCTGTAGCTCGCTTGCTTGCTCACTTTCTCACTTACTACGGCCGAGGCATCCAACCGAGTAGCGAAAAACACCACAAAACCGGCTCTATTTATGACAATACAGCGCGGCCGACGCCAATATGGCGCCGCTTCCCAGCCTGCCCTTCGCCCACCGCGGCTCCTCCCCTGGAGGCCTGGGCCCGCCTTCTCCCCGCCCCCTCCACCTCCGCCCCGCCCCCTCCGCCTTGGAGTCCGGGAGGCTCCCGGAGCCCCGCCCACACAGAGGGGCAGACTCTCGGACTGGAGACCCGCAAGGGCTGGAGCGTTTGGTCCGTTTTGTCCGCGAACTGTCAGTACAGGCAAACCGCCTGGAAGGTAAAATGGAACGTTTTCCTTGCTTTTTCTAAAGAGCGCCTGTATCATATATTTAAAAAAATATTACAGCTTTGCGTAGCGAATACTGTTTTAACGTTTCCATTATCTCACATCTTTCGTCATAATCATATAATCAACCTCCTCGTTGATTAGATTCCGTCGTGAGAGGGTCACACCCAGGAACGTGTGAAGTTTTTGTTGAAGAGAAACCCCTGAGCTGGAATAGGTCATTCACTCCTGAAGACGTGGAGACAGCCTGTCGGGAAGGGAAATAGTTTTTACTGAAGAGAAACCCCTGTGCTGGGATAAGTCATTCACTCCTGAAGACGTGGAGACAGCCGGTCCGGAAGGGAGGAAGGGGCGATAGAGGATGGTATTTGCGCCAGTGCAGACAGGAGCACGGAAAAGCAAGCTGGTAATTGGAGGCTAACTGTGCACTTAACTTCTAAGTCGCTCCCTCTGATTCATGACATTCTGACAGTTAAGTAAGGAAAGATGAAAGGAATTGCTAGCAGTTTGTCATATTAGGATAAATCCAAGGTTGAATCAAAATCTCACACTATCAAATAGTAGAGACCATGTTCCATGTGAGTTTGAGGATGAAAATAGGAAAATAATGACAATTTTTTAAATGTTAAAGGGTAGAAATAATTTACTAAATCATTACAAGAAAAAGAATGTCAAGAAGCTGCTTTTTCTCAATGTGACTCAGTCACACTAAAGGAGATTATTTATAGAATTAGTCATTCAAAAATATTTATTGAAAAAAATCATCTGTGCCAAGCACTGTGTTAGGCTCCATGATTTAATAGTATATAAAACCAGATGTGTTCATTAACCTTATGAAGTTCTGAGTTTAGTGAGGAAACAAATACAAGTTACATTCTTCTGTGGTAGAACTAAAGCACCTACTATGTGCCAAGCACTGGTGATACTTCATTCCTGCCCTCAAGAGTTCCCAGTGTAGTGGGAGAACTTACTTAATCAGAGATCATTAAAATACAGTATGGTTTGTGATACAGATGGGGTCAGAGGATTTAGGAAGGCCTAAAGAGGGCCACCTAAACTTGTGCGGGGGGATGCTCAAAAGCAGATCCCAGAAGGGATACTGCCTTAATTAGAAAGATTTGGGAATAGGGATTAGGTGCAGGTGGTAAGGAGAAGGCAAAACCTATTCGAGGCAGCACAGAATAGTAGCTAGCATGGGCTTCAGTGCAATGATTTCTAGTTTTGCTACTTACTAGTTTTGTGACCTCAGGAAAATTATTCTGTAAAATGAAGATAATAGGACTGTAAGAAAATTAAATGAGAAGAGTATGTATAGCCAATATGAATCTCAGTCCAAATATTCAGACATGCAAGAAGTAACAGTTTTTTTTCTAAAACTTAATTTTTGAGTCTCTTATTCTTCTGACCTGGCAGACAGAGACAATCTCAGTGGCCACAGTTCTCCTCCCCAAGTCTTGAGATGGTGCCAAGGCATTGGAGGACGTAGGGCAGATTGGGTACATCTGGTCCTGAACCCTGGTAAGACCACCTCCCTGTCTTCTTGGCAACTGGGCTTGGAAGGTCTCCACTGCCTCCAGGTATTGTCTGGGGCTCATTGTAAGGGCCTGTGGTCTTCACAGCCCAGTTGACCATATAGCTAGTTCTTTACACCTCTCAACATCTCCCCCCACAGTTAGGGGAATCTTGCCAGCCTGGGAAAAGAAAGTCTCTTTTCCCATGGTTTCTAACCAAGATATTTGTTGCTAGCTGCCTAGAGTTCTCTTCAGGGTTTATTTAACCTTTTTTCAAACACAAAATCCAGAAAGAGTTACAGGCTGACTCAGTGCCGAGCACATATGACTCCCAAAATTTCTTATTTGCATTGATTACCATAACCCTTATCTCTCAATTTTTTTCTCTTTGTTTATACATTTAATTTTAAAGTATTTCTTTTCCTTCCTTTCTTTTTTTCTCTTGCTTTAACTGCATAAGACACTTTGTTTTTACCTGCTGTAGTATTTTGGGAGATGAACACTGCTTCTAATTCTACTAGTTCAATGAAATCTTAAAATGTTTCAAAGACAGTTTTAAGACCATATTTCTCTAATTATCAGAGTCCATATGAGAACAATGCTTTTTTATTCCCTTTTATGTTATTTGTAGTTTGGCTCAATTTTAGTTGCTTTTCTTCCCATTTTCCTGTCTTCTTAATCTATCTGGGATTGAATGCCCTCTTTCAATAAGGACAGTTTCTTTCCAGGAAGAATACATTGATTTTTTTCAGGATCTACGTTGTAGTTGTATTTTTTAAGCTAAAATTTTCCAATTACAAAAGTAACCCATGCTTGTACAAAAAGAGTAAAAATCTGTTCCTCCCTTCCATTCCTAACTATTATTCCCCAGGGAACCATATTTAACATCTGGAAATCTATCCCTCCAGAATGATTTCAATATACTTCAAACTACATATAAACATATACCAGAGGTTTTGTTTTCATTGTTTTTTAATTTTGAAAAAAAAAAGGGATCATATTGTACATGTTCTACTCCTTGATTTTTTTTTTTTGGCTAAGGTTTCAAATGAAAAACACTGTGGTTACTACATTCATTAATACTATCAAGTCCTCCCCACACCCCATTGCAGTCACTGTCCATCAGTGTAGTAAGATGCCATAGTCACTAATTGTCTTTGTGCTACACTGTCTTTCCTGTGACACCCCCACACACCATGTGTGCCAATAACACCCCTCAATCCCCTTCTCCCTCCCTTCCGCCTCCTGACCCCTTTTCCCTTTCGTAACCACTAGTCCCTTCTTAGAGTCTGTGAGTCTGCTGCTGTTTTGTTCCTTCAGTTTTATTTTATTGTTATACTCCACACATGAGGGAAATCATTTGGTACTTGTCTTTCTCTGCCTGGCTTATTTCACTGAGCATAGTACTTTGTAGATCCATCCATGTTGTTGCAAATGGAATGATTTGTTTTCTTCTTATGGCTGAATAATATTCCATTGTGTATATGTACCACATATTCTTTATGCATTCATCTACTGATGGACACTTAGGTTGCTTCCATTTCTTGGCTATTGTAAATAGTGTCGCAATAAGCATAGGGGTGCATATGTCTTTTTCAAACTGGGCTGCTGCATTCTTAGGGTAAATTCCTAGGAGTGGAATTCCTGGGTCGAATGGTATTTCTGTTTTGAGTTTTTTGAGGAACCTCCATACTGTTTTCCACAATGGTTGGAACAATTTACATTCCCACCAGCAGTATAGGAGGGTTTGCCTTTCTCTGCATCCTCGCCAGCGTTTGCTGTTCCCTGTCTTTGGATGTTGGCCACCCTAACTGGTGTGAGGTGATATCTCATTGTGGTTTTAATTTGCATTTTCCTGATAATTAGCAATGTGGAGCATCTCTCATGTGCCTGTTGGCTGTCTGAATTTCTTTGCAGAATTGTCTGTTCATTTCCTCTGCCCATTTTTTAATTGTGTTATTTGCTTTTTGGGTGTTGGGCATGTGAGTTCTTTATATATTTTGGATGTTAACCCCTTGTCAGATATGTCATTTATGAATCTATTCTCCCATACTGTGGGATGCCTTTTTGTTCTACTAATGCTGTCATTTGCTGTACAGAAGCTTTTCAGTTTGATGTAACCTCACTTGTTCATTTTTGCTTTTGTTTCCCTTGCCCAAGAAGATGTGTTCAGAAAACAGTTGCTCATGTTTATATTCCAGAAATTTTTGCCAGTTTTCTTCTAAGAGTTTTATGGTTTCGTGACTTACATCCAAGGCCTTTGATCCATTTCGAGTTTACTTTTGTGAATGGAGTTAGACAGTAATGCAGTTTCATTGTCTTACATGTAGCCATCTAGTTTTGCCAACACTAGCTGTTGAAGAGGCTGTCATTTCCCCATTGTATGTCCATGGCTCCTTTATCATATATTAATTGACCATACATGCTTGGGTTTATATCTGGGCTCTTTGTTCTGTACCATTGATCTATGGGTCTGTTCTTGTGCCAGTACCAAATTGTCTTCATTATTGTGGCTTTGTAGTAGAGCTTGAAGTTGGGGAGCATAATCCCCCACCTTTATTCTTCCTTCTCAGGATTGCTTTGGCTATTTGGGGTCTTTTGTGATTCCATATGAATTTTAGAACTATTTGTTCTAGTTTGTTGAAGAATGCTGTTGGTATTTTGATAGGGATTGCATTGACTCTGTAGACTGCTTTAGGCAGGATGACTATTTTTACAATATTAATTTTTCCTATCCATGAGCACGGGATATATTTCCATTTATTGGTATCTTCTTTAATTTCTCTCATGAGTGTTTGTAGTTTTCAGGTGTCTTTCATGTCCTTGGTTAGATTTATTCCTAGTAATTCCTAGTAATTATTGCTGGTAATTGGTCTGTTCAGATTTTCTGTTCCTTCCTGGGTCAGTCTTAGAAGGTTGTATTTTTCTAGAAAGTTGTCCATTTCTTCTAGGTTATTGGTCTGTTCAGATTTTCTGTTCCTTCCTGGGTCAGTCTTAGAAGGTTGTATTTTTCTAGAAAGTTGTCCATTTCTTCTAGGTTACCCAGTTTCATTCTTTTTGATGCAATTGTGAATGGAATTGTTTTCCTGATTTCTCTTTCTGCTAGTTCATCATTAGTATATAGGAATGCAACAGATTTCTGTGTATTGATTTTTTATCTTGAAACTTTGCAGAATTCAGTTATTAATTCTAGTAGTTTTGGGGTGGATTCTTTAGTTTTTTTTATGTATAATATCATGTCGTCTGCAAACAGTGACAGTTTAACTTCTT